CTAGCTCCTGGCCTGGGTTAGAATGCCTGCACCTAGCTCCTGGCCTGGGTTAGAATGCCTGCACCTAGCTCCTGGCCTGGGTTAGAATGCCTGCATCTAGCTCCTGCTAGGACCCTGCTTGTTGCCCAGTGTTTTTGTGCCTCAGTCTCTCCATCGCTGCAAAGGGATCAACTACTCATGTCAGCAACGTAAAGATTCAGTGACATCCTGAGACCCACATGGTGGAAACAGGTTTGACTCCTCCAAATTGTTCTCTGACCTCCACATGTGGGCTGTGGCACATGAGCTCACACACATAATAAATAATAAATGTAATTCAAAAAAATTACAAAAGAAATAAGGGGGCTGGAGAGATGGCCCAGTGGTTAAGAGCACTGCCAGAGGACCCGGGTTCAATTCCCAGCACCCAAGTGGTGGCTCACAGCCGTGTATAACTGCAGCTCCAGGGGATCCAATGCCCTTGGCTGACTTCCACTGGCGTGCACATACATGCATGAAGACAAAACGCTCATACACATAAAGTAAAACAAATCAATCTTAAAAATAATAAAGAATTCAACAAGCTGATCCGTAAAGCCCGGCCCATAGCGGGCTCAGCATAGCTTCTGGTTTGGGGGAGCTCAGCACATATTGGAAGACAGAGTTTTTAAAATCATCACTATCACGTAGGGCCCAGGCCAGGAGCTGCTGCCTCTAGGAAGACTTTCTGAATGTTGTATCCCAGGGATCTCTGCTGCCACTTCAGAAGCCCCCATTCTGGCCACTCGTACCGAGATGACCCTGTTGGGCCACCTGCCTGTGCCTCGTCTCCTCACAGTCTCACCCCTGCCAGCTGAGGACACCCGGACCTCTGGAAGCCCAGCGACTTGCACAGGGCTGCTGAGCAGAGTCTGGGCGGCCATGGAGGGGGGCGGGCGTTGTAAGAAGCCTTCCCAGGAATGTCGAAAGATCTCCCCCTCCTCATAAGGGCCCAGTCACAACCAAAGTTTGAGTCTACGATACTTCCCCTGGGAAACTGATGAGTTTATTAGACTTACTTACAGAGCATGGGGGAGGGGTTCAGGCAGGAGTGTGGGGTGACCGCAAAGTAGCCACACTGGAACGTCTGCACTCTGAATGACAACTCCTCCGTGGCCACATAGATGGAGCCTCCTTCCACGCATGTCCCCCAGTTTGTATGCTCTAGAACCTCCCCGTGACCCAAGGCCACATGCAACTAAGGAAGAGTTGCATCCAAGTGGCTGGGAGAAGTGACTAGAGGCTCACGTGAGGGTCCAGCGACCCCGGCATCCCTTCCTCTGTGAAGGAGTCCAGCTGCGATGGATGACCTGTTGATGCAGGCACAGCTGGTCTGGTGAAGAGGGCAGCTGTTTTCTCGGAGGGTGGTATCCTACAGCGGGAGTATGTGGAGGAGGTGGGGGCCTCCGTCAGCAGTGAGAAGGCTGCTAGGTGGGTCCGCTCACTCCGCTCCTGGGAAGCCTGTGACTGAGGCGGGGAGGCATGGCCAGGCTGATGACAACTTCTGGTGTCAAGTGACGAGAAGCCATCGAGGACACCAGGAAGCCAGATTTAGCCTCTCTGGGCCTCCTTTGATCTGTTTCTTAGGAAGAGGGGGTCATGCTCTGGAGTGGCAGGCCACGGTGAGCTGCTTTGGGGATACCACGGCCCTCGGGAGAGACACAGCTCCTGTCCTGGCTGTTTCCAAGCCTGTGACCCCAGGCCGGCTCAGAGGGCTAGCAGATGCTACAGCCCGAAGGATGTTGCCGGGTCTCTGCCTGCTGACGGTGGCAGGATCAACGGGCTTGTCCTGGCTCTTCTAGGGCCTAGTGGGGTATAGTGTAGGGCTGTGGACTCCCTTTTCCCCTCTGAGGCCACCTTCTGGGCTCCTCTGGAGCACCCTCTCCGTATACACACGGGGATGAAGCACGCATGGGGTTCCAATCAGGAGACCTGGCTCTGTCCAGCCTGGAGTTCCCAATCGGGAGACCTGGCTCTGTCCAGCCTGGAGTTCCCAATCGGGAGACCTGGCTCTGTCCAGCCTGGGGCTCCCAATCGGGAGACCTGGCTGTGTCCAGCCTGGGGTATGCCCAGGCCCCCACTGCTCCGCTGAGCTCAGAGGGTCTCATCGCGCCCGGCATGGTGTTCCCTCACAGACCGAGAGCGCATCGGGCAAGACTCTGCCTATGAACAGGAGGGGAAAGTGCAGTTCGTCATTGACGCCGTGTACGCCATGGGCCACGCACTGCACGCCATGCATCGTGACCTGTGTCCTGGCCGCGTAGGACTCTGCCCTCGCATGGACCCTGTGGATGGTACCCAGCTGCTGAAGTACATCCGAAACGTCAACTTCTCAGGTGGGGGCATGGAGCAGGACACTACGTGACCCCGGGGTGGCCTGGGCCATGCAGCTGCAGGGTATAGAAGTCTGGGCTCATGGGCGTGGGAATGGTGGTCTCTTCAGATGTTCTGTGCAGGAGTCTTCCCAGAGATGCCTCTGTCTTGAGTTTATAAGCCTCCCTGTGCCTGGGTAAAGGCCCAGCAAAGTCCTTCCCTGCAGGTATTGCAGGGAACCCTGTAACCTTCAATGAGAATGGAGACGCACCAGGACGTTATGACATCTACCAGTACCAACTGCGCAATGGCTCGGCTGAGTACAAAGTCATCGGCTCCTGGACTGACCACCTGCACCTCAGAGTAAGCATGAGGATGGGAGGGAACATGGGGGAACAGGGTGCAGAGGCCAGGCGGGGCCGGAGGTCACTGGCTGACGCCAAGCTATCTGAGCGTGAGACCTCACTGGAAGGCAGCCATTTCACCCGAGAGATGCCCTGCTTTCCTCCTTGCCCTTGGGGTGATACCTCCAGCAGTGAACAGTTTTGTTTTGCTTTGGGTTTTGTTGTGGTTGAGAGGAAGCGCCATAGTGAGTTGTCTGGGGCTTGGACTCTGCCCTGCAAAGATGGAGGGAGAGACGCGTTCCCAGCAGGCAAAGCACGCCGCCTTGCAGTCTCTTCCAGGCATCATCCAGGCAAGGAGCCCCTGCAGCCCTGCCCAGCACGGATCCCCGTATTCCACGTCCCAGAGCCTTCCAGGCTGGAGCGAGTGTCTCGGGATGCCATCCCTAGGGAGGGGTTCTCCTGAGGTCACATAGCTTGGAGGGACAGAACCTGTTCCTGGAACGAGGTTTCCCCCTGTTAGGTAGAGAGAAGGTGGATGCGGATGTGCTGGGCGCAGAGGGCAGCGGCAGCCAGGCCTGTTCGCAGCGGCAGCCCAGCGCATGCGCGTGCATACCCCCCTATACTGCAGTTCTAACAGTATGCTCTTCCTGAGAGGCCGGTAGCTCTGTGAGGCGAACACTGTCCCGTCCCTCATTCACAGACACTGGGACTGAAGGCTGGGTAGGTGTGTGTGTGCAGTTCTGAAGGTCCTTCCTTCCCTCCCTGCCAGTCTGTCTGTCCCCAAGTCCCAGCTTGCTGGCCCAGCCGGGGCACCCTCCTGATGCCTGTTCCGTCGCTGATCTAGGGAAGGGGCTGAGTCACAGCAGTGTGGCATGGCCAGGGCTGGGCTTTCCAGCTTTCTCCCAGGCCACCAGAGGAGCTGAGGGAGAGGACCAGGGCTAGCAGGCTACCTTAGGGGACCTGCAGATGAAGGAGGCTCTCCCAGTGAGGTACCACAGCATTCCCTGTGGGAGTGACCCGGAGTAGTAAGAGACAAGGTGACTTCATACCTGCTACTCTCGGAACAGGTGGAGGACAGAGACTCAGTGGGCCAAGGAGTTCTCTCAAAGGTTCACAGCCCCAAGCCACACCATGGACCCTAGGACTGGGCCATCTTCATGGGAACCAGGGTTTTCCAGAATACCCACCATCGCCCCGGGCCTCATCATTCCTTCGGGATCGTGGCGTAGCGACTGCTCCCTTTGGCTGCTAGAGTGATACATCCCATAATACCCAGAACCCAAGAAAACCTCTTCATGTAGACCTCCTTTACCCCTTTGCCCCTCCCTCCTCCTTTCTACTCAGTTCTGGAGCTCTCCGAACAGCCTCAACCAGCCTGGCACATTCCTGCAGGAGAGGGCATTCAGTGAACGCACGCACGCACGCACGCACGCACGCACGCACGCACGCACGCACGCACGCACGCACGCACCACACACACTGCATGCACCGCACCGCACCGCACTGCCCTGCTCCGCCCCGCGCCCCGCAAGGTCCCATCTGGCCAGGCTTGTTGCTCTGAGAACGAACTTACTGCCTGGCTGCTTAAGAGGACTCCTTTGATCAGGGCCTGCAGGTTAACCAGGCTCCCTGGCCCAGCACCTGTAGCTTCCCTGGCCACCAGGTTACTCCCTATAATGTTGTAGGGATTTGGTAGGTGTGACACCGCTCCTGTGGCTTGCTTTGCTCCCAGCAACGGCATCTTCAGAGCCCGGGAGCTGTGTTCTCATTTTGTGTCAGATGTAAAGGAATGCTAACCCCGGGGCACTCATTAAGTGGCTTCTGATTAAATCTCTGTTCCTTGCTTTCAGCTGAGCAGGACTCCGGAGTTGCTGGGTGGGAGGAAGCTCAGGGCTGAGCTCTGAGGTAGTTCCTCTTCCACGCCTCCGGCATGAGAACCACACGGGAGGGGCTTGTTCCCACAGGCGGAGATCTAGGAGGGTTGAAACGGGCGTTTCTAACTCACTCCTGGTTGCATGATTTCCAGGCCTCGGGGTTTGAAAGTCAGGACTCCTGGGGTCTTGGTCTTGCACTGGTGCTCAGTATGACTCTAGGGTGTCACGTCTACGGTCCCTAGACTCAGTTTCTCCAGATGAGTATTGAGTTAGTGGTGTCTGGGTCACATGTGTAAGCTGTCTGATTCCAGCTGTCAGCCAGTCAGCTCAGATGAAGTCCAGGAAGCTGGGCCTGTGGCCAGTGATTCAGGTGTGCAGCCAGAGAGCTCGGGGGTGGTGGTGGCGGAGGGTAAGGTCTGGGCGCTGCCAGCATGTCCCGAAGCCAGCTCTGTGGTGCTGTCCTTGCCAGATAGAGCGGATGCAGTGGCCGGGGAGTGGCCAGCAGCTGCCGCGCTCCATCTGCAGTTTGCCCTGCCAGCCGGGCGAGCGGAAGAAGACCGTGAAGGGCATGGCTTGCTGCTGGCACTGTGAGCCCTGCACAGGGTACCAGTACCAGGTGGACCGCTACACCTGCAAAACCTGCCCCTACGACATGCGGCCCACAGAGAACCGCACGGGCTGCCAGCCCATCCCCATCATCAAGCTGGAGTGGGACTCACCCTGGGCCGTCCTGCCTCTCTTCCTGGCCGTGGTGGGCATTGCCGCCACATTGTTTGTGGTGGTCACTTTTGTGCGCTACAACGATACCCCCATCGTCAAGGCCTCGGGCCGGGAGCTGAGCTATGTGCTGCTGGCGGGCATCTTTCTGTGCTACGCCACTACCTTCCTCATGATCGCAGAGCCCGACCTGGGGACCTGCTCGCTCCGCCGCATCTTCCTGGGGCTCGGCATGAGCATCAGCTACGCAGCCCTGCTCACCAAGACCAACCGCATCTACCGCATCTTCGAACAGGGCAAGCGGTCAGTCAGTGCCCCACGCTTCATCAGCCCAGCCTCACAGCTGGCCATCACCTTCAGCCTCATCTCCCTGCAGCTGCTTGGCATCTGTGTGTGGTTTGTGGTGGACCCCTCCCACTCAGTGGTGGACTTCCAGGACCAACGGACACTGGACCCCCGCTTTGCCAGGGGCGTGCTCAAATGTGACATCTCTGACCTGTCGCTCATCTGCCTGCTGGGCTACAGCATGCTGCTGATGGTCACGTGTACCGTGTATGCCATCAAGACTCGAGGTGTGCCTGAGACCTTCAATGAGGCCAAGCCCATCGGCTTCACCATGTACACCACCTGTATCGTCTGGCTGGCCTTCATCCCCATCTTCTTTGGCACCTCACAGTCGGCCGACAAGGTGGGTGGTGGGGGGCCAGGGGGAATGGCCGAGTGGGGATTGAGAGCAGGAGTCCAGAGCCCAGGCAGCCCCCGGAGACACTTCTATACCTCGTTCTGTTTTCTCTCCCAGTTGCAGGTTTTTCCCCTCTGGGTTTCTCTTGCTTTGTATTTCATCTCTTTATTTATTTATTTTTATTTTTTGTTTGTTGTTTTCTATTTCCCACACTGAGGGCAGGGACAGGCAGAGGCCACACCCCTCCATGGTGTGCCCTTGTGGTGTGTGGCCCCACACCTGAGGGAGATGGCAGCTTGAGATTGCTTTTGGCCTCACCAGGGGGAGAGGGTCACTGCTGGGAGTCCCTCCTGTGTGTCTTGGCGGGAATATCTGGGTCTGCGGCTGCCAGGCCACAACATGGCAGCTAAGGCCCTCCTACTTCACCCATCCCTAGTGGGTTCCTGTATAAGTGAAGCCACGAGAGTCTGTTAAAAGGGTATCAAGGATTTATTAAGATATAAAATGGAGAGAAAATGCACTCACGGATACAGAACAAAGTAAACAGCCGCCGTGGTCCTCCGTTCTGCCCGGGGTGAATGGAACCAGCAGTCCGATCTCCGACCACCACCAGAGAGAGCAAGCACGCCTCTCTCCTCAGTTTTAAGCAGTCATATAACCTGCCAAGAGGCCATGCCCTAAGGCTGGCACTCCAAAGCTATTGGCAGAGTGAATATCCACAACATTCCTGTCCTCCCAGAGGCCAGACCTCTGTCTTCAGGTTCTGGGGCCCAGCCCCATCCTGAACCCCTCCTCTCCCACCCTGGATCCCTGCCCCCCAATCCTGGATCCCTCCTTTCCCATCCTGGACCCCTGCCTCCCAATCCTGGATCCTTGCTCTCTCATCCTGGATCCCTCCTCTCCCATCCTGGATCCCTCCTTTCCCATCCTGCATTCCTGCCCTCCTATCCTGGATACCTGCCCTCCAAGGGGCTCCTCTTGGCACCTGGAAGGAGCTGCTAGGGTGTATCCCCATCAGAGACAGTCCTATCAGAATCCAGACAGGGGCTGGGTTGCATCCTGAGCTGTATTACAGGCTGTCCTCACCAATGTGGCCATGCTTCCCAGCACTAGCCCTTCTCCCAGCCTCCAGATGGGGTCAGGGTGGAGAGATGGAGTTTTGAGTCCTTGCCACTTGGGACACCAGCCTCCATAGAGGCTCCTGCAGCCATAGGTGTGGAGCTCTGACAAGCCAGAGTTAGGGAATACCCCAGCACAAGCTGGGTGGGAACAGGCTGTATTGGAGCCATGCAGTGGGTATGGGGCAGGGAGGGGGAGAGAGAGAGAGAGAGAGAGAGAGAGAGAGAGAGAGAGAGAGAGAAGAAGAAGAAGAAGAAGAAGAAGAAGAAGAAGAAGAAGAAGAAGAAGAAGA